TAGTGGTTTTGAAGCAATCAAAAGAAAAATCTAATTTCCAGCTGTTAGAAATGATTGTTCATGCATGAGGAACTACTGCAGTTTTTATGTGCTATGTCTTTTTGGGGTGGAAGTCCTGGTTTTGGTGTTTTGGTATGCCATGAATAACAGGATTGGGGTTGGGGTGGGGGGGAACTTTTTTTGGGAAATAGTTACTTTGAAAGTGACTGTATGCTTTCATAGTGTCATGGCCAGGGTGCTGAGTTCAGTCAGAAGATTTCCCTTTGGAAAATGACATGTTTCAGGGATCCACTACCTGTTTACCTTGACTCCATTGGTGACATAGTGGCTTTTCAGGGCAGCTGTGTCTTGCAAAAGAAAGCTCCTTGCACACAGTATTTCAGGCATCACCAAGTGATTTAAGAGCCACTTTCTTTCTCTGTTATTGAGTATTTAACCAGGTTCTTCACTTGGATGACTAAATTGTAAGAAGTCCAGGACAGCAGGGAGGATTTTGTAGCTGCACACAGAAAATAAATCCATAAGATAAATTTGTTATGCTTCAGACAACTTCTGCTATCCTTGTATTTCCCTCATCTGTCACTAGTGATGTCAGCACTAGAAAGCACCTGGAGGTGGTTGGATCCCACATGTGTTCTTCACTTAAGAGAGCAATTTATCAATGTACATTAAAATGGTGCAACTGGTGGTAAAGGGTTTTATACAACATCCATGTTACACTGAAAATCTTCAGGGACATGTCTGCATTTATACAGGCTGTGATTAGAGCCCGTAAATTTGGGCACAGTAAATGCACTCGGTGTCCCCCTCCCCAGGCAGGGTGACCTTGCTGACTGCTGTGACCTGTGACAAACAGGTCTCAGGGCTGCTCCAGGCTGGGGGATGAGCTGAGATCCTGCACACGAGGGACCAAAACCTGTAGGAAAATGTCCTGCAGAGACTGGACCCGCGGGGGCTGCAGCAAGAACTGGATCTGGAAGTTTGGATGCTTGGGAGAACAGCCAGGAGGAGAGCAGAGATACGATCTCACCACAAGGCCACGCCCTGCTCATCAGCCTGCCTTAATTCTTCCTGATGAACGCTGTCCTACCATTCAGTTTCTGTGCTCAAATCTCCCTGTTTGTCAGGGGAAAGGTATTGGAAGAGCTCCTCTTGAAAGTTCTTGTGTTTCAGTGGTGGCTCTGCACCTCTGAAGAGAGAGGAAGAGTTATACATTTTCATCTTTAGAGGCTGAAATTAAATTAGATGTAAATGTATTCCAAGCAATGAAGGCAAATTTGTTTACTACTCTGGGTAGCATTTCCTTTTCCCCTCCTCATACTCAAAGTAGCATTACCAGTGTGCCTCTGTCACCTCTTCCCAGTCTTGCTGTGTTCCTGCAGGAGCATGTCCCAGGAGCCTGGACAAGGCAGCAAGAAAGGAGATGTGGAACATGGGAACTGGGAGAAGGGCAGCAGTGTCTGGGCATCCGGGACAGATGTTTATTTGCACCACTTCTCTTACCTTTTCCCCCAAAAGAGGGCCTGCTTCTTCATTTCTAAGGGGATTTAGGCTAAGCAAGAAATTCTGTCTCAGTGGGCCTCTGCAGTTGAGGTGGAGATAGGAAAATGCTTAGTGTCAGTAGGGAAACCCATTTTTTTTAGTTGATTCTGTCACCTTCCCATTTTACCCTTTCCTTCATAGTCTCCCTCCAAAGGTACCTTAACCCACATTTCCCTGATGCCCTGCTGCCACTAAACTACCCAAAACCATAATTAACTCTCTCCTGCTGTCAAATTAACTTGTTACCACAAGTTTTAAACTTGTCTTCCTCATCAAGAGGAATAGAAATAGTACAAATATGTTATTTTGCCTTCAGAATGACACCTGGCAATGTTTCTTACCTATTGATTGAAATAATTTAGCATTTTAAAAGGAACAAATTGACTTAATTTGTTTGGGGGATACTTAAAGGTTGAGGACAATTTTATATCAATTAAAATCAGTGGTAATTCATTTATGATGGAACTAATGTAATTAATTAGGTAGTTGCTGCTTATCTTCTAATACATATATTGTTTTTAAACATCTGCTCAATAGTCCATTATGAGAGCACAGAAGTGATTTTACCTGAGAGCAGTAGAGGAGCAGATGCTTCCTGATGACAGCATCCCAGTTTCTTTAGGAAACAGCCAGCCAGTCCTGGATTCACAGTTTTTACTTGAAGCATGTCAGGCATGCAAGTAAATTTGAAAATCAGAAACAAAAAAATTGAGGAACAAGTTTCTTCATATCATTCTTAATGATTGCATTTTGTTTAAAGTGCCTTTTTTGGTTAGTGTTGTATATGACATTTTTTGAGGCTGATGTTTGTGTTTTGTCTTTTGTTTTGTGGTGTCTGTACATGTTAATGTTTTGCAGTGGTTACAAAGCCATCCAAATTTAAATTTGATTTCAGTGTTGTCTAATACAGTGACTAAAATTCAGCATTAGCTCAAAGAGTCAGAACTACAATATAAATAGGAAAATAGGAATAGGAAACCAGAACAATAATTCAGAGAAAGAGTTAAAATAGACTATCATGATGTATGTAAAAATAAAGTGTCAGTTTTGCTTTTTTAAATTAAGTTACACCTGTGTTATATATTTATGGCTTTATCAGTACTGGGTGAAGAGTGAAAATGAGGTCTTCTGGGCTGATACAGAACTGTCTGAGGCTCCTTGGTTCTAGTGACCCATTTGTAGATTTTTAGATGTTTCAAAGATCACCTAAAATGACTGTACTCATTTTATTCATCTCATCAGCAAAGTTCATCTCATCAGCTACAGAGATACCATCAAAACTTGTAGGCTACAAAATGTACTTTCCCTGGAAAAATCCTGTGGGCTGTACTTGCAGAGACTGTAAAGAGCACAATTGCACATCAGTGATGTGTCTTTTTAAATCAGAAAACGTGAAATTGCTGTTTCCTGAGAGGAAGGGGGATTAGAGTAGCCCTGAGAAGGATTCAGCTATTTGCCTTTGTGTGCAGATCTAAAATAGTCACAAATTAGTCATTTTACCATTATGTAGAGAATGCAGTTTATGCAGACAGTCTTCTTTCTAGAACAGTGGTATTTAACACAGGAGCAGGTAGTCTTGCCATTTCCAGAAGGATCTTTCAGGGCAGGGTAAGCTGGTGACTAAGCAGGAGGCAAGGCCCTGGTATCTGATGAAACATTAATGCCTGAGAAGCACCATGTAGGCTCAGTTCTGAGCACAGACTCTTTCTCTTCCCCACCCCTACACATACATGAAAACCAGTCTGTAGCTGGGTTTGGTTTTTTTTTTGTTTTCCTTTCCCACCGGCTGCTGATGGTCTCTTCTGCTATTCTCACTGAAGCATTAATCAATTTTAAAGAAGGTTCAGCATTATATAGAGAAGAATTTTTTTTCTTGCTTCTTTTTTTTTAAGCTGTATTTTACATATAACCACTAATGATTTGTGTGGGGAGGCAAAGAATGTCCCTTCTTGGTCTGTCACTCGTGTATATGGGAACTGGGCATATCACATGAGTCTGTGACATCAGGAACAGCAATCAACACTGTCCTTCTGGCATTGTAGAATTTAGGATCTCTTCACATACAGTTTTTTAAAACTAGGTTAACCCAGAGAGCATGTTTTCAAACATTCCCATTTGGTGCTTTAGGCATTTGTTTCCCTATAAGCAAAAATCGACCATTTTCCTGCAGACATCTGGGATTTACCAGGAAACCTCTGCTCTGTGATCTTCTCACTTCATGTCCAAAAATGTATGGGCAGTTCCTTGGTCTGCAGCTTCCCGAGTCCTGGGCTTTCAGGGCAAGTCACATCAGAAAAAAAACCTGAAAATACATTTGGGGTCATTACTGTTAAAGTTTATTAGTTTTTATATTTTTTCACGTATCGATTCATCCATTGCTGACTTGACTAAGGATGTGAGATAAAAATGCAAAATAGCCTTAAATTCCTGGTGTGTTGTATGAACACAGTGTTCAGAGGATGCTGGTTCTTCTTTTCTGCTCAGTCTTTTTCTGTTTTGCTTGGACAGATACCATAAGTCAATATTCAGGGTTGCTTGGCAATAGCCAAGTCGTGAAATGCACGCCCAGCCTGTGGGGCATTATGGTTGCTTAGTTCATGCATGTAAATTTGGGGGTTTGAGCACTGAACAAGTCCACACCCAGAGTGTCTTCTTGGAAAGTTTGTTCTTATGTTTAATCTTAATGGCATTATTAATTTAATGGTTCCATTTTCAGAGACACTGAGTTATGACAGCTTTTAGAAAAATCCAAACAACTGCATGCTTAGCACTGTTGGAATATTAATTTGAAATGTTGTGAAATTCGTGCTGCAGCTGTTGTATATCTCAATGCAATTAGTTTCATCTATTTTGATTTGTTTCAACTCTACCATAAACTTTAGTACTTTACACCTGGAATATACACTAACAGGGAAAAAAAACCACTCTCAGTTTTATTATTACATTTTATGTTATTATTATAATTACATTATATGATACATTTTATATTATTAGCAAAAGCAACTCCTGGCAAAAAGCCTTTAAAGAAAGTAGATCAGAGGATTTTTGGTGGGTACATTTGATTTGTCTTTTGGCAAGCAAAACCAGATTATTTAAGGATACACTTCTAAAATGGTCTATACTGAATGTAATGAGGACAGGTACAGCTGTAGTCCCCTTATTGTGCCAGTTACTGTGCCATGAAGATTTTAGAGAGAGCCTTGGTGCAGCTTAGAAAGATCTCAGCTCTGGAAAGGCTTGCAATGGTTCACAGTTTGTGGAAGGAAGTGTGTAAGATGTCTTTGTAGCTTTCAGACTCCCCTGACTTTCTTGCTAGCGTTGAAAAATTCCCTTGGGAGTTTGCACGAGTGAAAAAGGGGTGGTTGCCATTATTTACTGCGCATTTCCTGAGCTCGTGGCGATTTCCCTGGGTACACATGCAGGGGCTGACGTTGCTGTGGCCACGTGTGTCGTTTCAGGAGCCCTCGGATGACTCTCAGGCCGCTGGGGCTTGCAGCACAGAAGAAGTGGTTCGCTACGAGTACCACGTCCTCTACTCCAGCAGCTACCAAGTGCCCGTGCTGTATTTCAGAGCCTGCTTTTTGGGTAAGGCCAGCACAGACTCCTTGTGCTGCGTGCAGATGTTGAACATTTTGTATTAGGTTGAGGAAGAGATGTAATAAGAAACTAAGAGGTGAGGCTGCTCACCAGAGAATTTTTAGTGCTCTGGACTCAGAGCTCCAGGACTGTGGAGGAGATGATATCATCTCAGCCTGATCTTTGGCTCCTGGCATCTTGCCTGTGGTTGACTGAAACTGCTGGTCATTTTTCTTGTTCTTTCCTGAAATGACTAGTGTTGCAGGTTTAAACTGGGCTGGGCAATCAGTGGACACAACCACAGTGCTTGAGCCACAGTTTGAGCCACAGGGCTGGGGTCTAAATGTGACTTTTAAATGTGTGCTGTTTTCTGTTTAAATTTGCTCCTTAAGGGAAAATAAAGTAATACTGATAGGATATTGACTTTTTTTTTTTTGTATTGAAGCTGGCTCTTTAAACAGTCTGATGCTGTCTCCTCCCTGGTATGTACATCTTGCTGCCCACTGCTCTGTGGCTGTAACCACTGTGATTTCAGCCCCCATCCTGTCAGGGGAGGAAGGAGGAACACTCAGCCTCCCAGGGAGGCCACGCTGGTGTCGCTCATTTAATCAGCAGGCACAGAGTGATCACACTGCAGCACTGGCTGTGCCCTGTTCCTCGCTGCCCCAAGCCTGTGCACCTCTGCACTGTGCCTGCAGTGGTGTGGCCAGCAGGACCAGCCTGTGGCACTTGTGGGCAGCCTTGAGTGGTGAGCATGGCTGTGTTGGGTTAAGGCTTGGACTAGATCATTTTAGAGCTCTTTTCCAACCTAAACGATTCCATGATCAGCATCTTCTGTGTTTTGAATAATATCTTAACTTTATCTAGATAAAGATGTCTGAATGTTGCCAGTGATATCTTTTCCTTTTTAATTAAAAAGTAGCTTAAGCTGCTTTGAATGTGTTTGGTAGATTTAATCACTCTCTGCCTTATATTGTTTAATGGTTTCTAATTTTGCAGTGTTAGCGTTTCGAAAAGCACTTCAGATTCAAAATTGAAGAACAAATTCTTGTAGGCTCCCTGGTGGAAAGATTTTAGTCTGAGGTGCAGTTTCAGGAATGGATAATTTGGGGTAAATTTTCAGAGTGGGACGTGGGGAACTGGGGACGTTGCTCTGCCTTTACCACCAACAAAACTCATCTGCACACAACCTGTTGCAGATTTATTTCCAGCATTATTACAGGCATTTACAAACGTGCAGTGTTTTGCCTTTGAACTTGTTGTGCAGACAGGAAGATGAAGGTAGTTTTGCTGTGAGAGACGGGTTAGCCTATTTGTGGTCCTGAAAAATGTCATCTTCTTGATTTTTGCTGAATTTATAGTGCAGTGACTCTACAGAAGAGGACGGAGAATGGTGCAGGTAGAGGAAGTAGGACAGTATCTCTACTGTACTGTACTTCCATATAATTAGTATTCACCATAAGCAGTTAATCACCAGAGAAGAGCTCACAGAGACAAAACAAGTTGTTTAGCTTGTCAGCACCAGGGAATCGGAGATGTTGAAACATGACTCCTTATAGCTGGAAGTGGATATTACAGGAGCCAGTGGATGATCTAATGCACAACCATGGTATTATGTGCCAACAGCTCCCCTTGCAGTACAGAACCGTAATTGCTCCTGCAAGTACAATTACCCTTTAAAACACTTCTTGGGAACCTTTCACAATGGAAAACAAGGGCTTTTTTTAGATGCTTCCGAAGGTCACCTGGGTTCTCTTCAGCATTTTACATTCTCTTTTAAATTATAACAATATCTGACTCTTGAAGCGAGCAGGATACTAAATGCTGGCAGTAAGTGTGTTTCCTACAGTGTTACCAGCTGGTATTCTCTGATTTTACTTATGAGCAGCTTACTTTTGCAAATGAAGAATTCTGTCTTCCCTGCACGTTGTTGGCCTGCCTGTGTTGTTGGTCTGCCTGTGTTGTGCTGTCTGAAGGTCCCAAAGTGGGATTTTTGGAAATGTACAGCCATCATGTGCTCACAATCACCTGAGATACCTGAGCAGAGTATCCTTTGTCTTGTCCCAAACCTGCTGTGAGGAAAACTCTGGGAAATACCCTGAGTTTTTTTCCTTTGAGGTTATAGTCCATGTGATGGGCTCCTCACTTTGTCAGTCAGCAATGCTGGCTGTATTGCTGGCACTAATCAAGGAACAATCTCCCCAAGATTTACCTCCATTTCCCAGTCTGAATTCTTACCATTATTTGTAGACTTGGCAACAGGAGAGGTTCCTCACAAGTCTCCTGTGAGCTGTTCCAGGCTCCCCTGGGATCCTGCCCATACTGATCCCGTGCTAATTAGAGCTGTCTTCAGTAGGCAGAGGTGAGCTGTAATCCTTCTGATGGTTCCAGAGCCCTGTCCCGTCTTGCCTTCCCCAGCACAGGGCACAGAGCTGGAATTCAGAGCTCTGCTTCCTCCCTGGCAGTGTCTGGACTGCCCATCACACCTGGGAAACAATGATTCCTCTGTTCAGCCTGGCTGAGAGCTTCTGCAGCATTCACTTCCTCCCTTTGTAAAACAGCAGCTGAAGCCAGCCTGTCCAAATCTGCACTCCAGCAGACACCTCACAAACTTCTCTGGTATGTTGAAATTAGTGAAATCCTGCCTTTCTCTTGCTGCATGTGACTTCAGCTTCCATTTACCTGGTCTCTCAGCCCCTCCTAGGAAAAAGACTCCCTGGAGCCTGGAGTTGCTGGGGGGATGTTCCTGTGATCTCCAGCTTGGTTGGCATCCTCAGGAACTTGTGCCAGTGAAGACATCCAGTTTTCACTCCTCTCTGCTAGAAGATCTGTAATTCAAGCATTACAGATCACGTCTTCCTGCAGAAGGGAAAGAGTTGCATTGTATCCTTGCCCTTGCTGTCTAAATTGGATTAAATAACTTGCTTTCTCGAACTCATCTTCAGACCTTTTTTTGTTGTTTGTGAGATGAAGTTTGCTATGTAAGGTGGTGCAAGGTAAGGTTTGAAATTTTGACTGCAACAGAACTGAAACATTTTGAGAGACATCTAAACTTTTTTGTAGTCTCAGGGGATGGATTTACAGGGAAGATCTTGTTCTGTGCAAGGACAAATACTTCAGTTGAAAATAGTGATTAAGCACGATGAGACTGTCTGGAAAGGTGTTTGGGAACATTATAGGGTACAAGAAGATATTTTTAGGCAGTGTGTATATACATAAGAAACATTTTTCACTGCCTTATGATCCTTGCCACGTGGCGTTTATTCCTAATTTCAGATCTGCTGAAGTCACAGTCAAGTGTCAGGAGCTCAGGACAGAGGCTAATTTCTCCAAAATCAGCCTTGTGCCTACCATACCAAAAATGGAGCCCTTCTTTCTTCCCCTGGCTTCTGAGACTACCAAATAGGTAGTTGAAGAAATGCATGAACCCCTGCTGATATCTGATGTCAGCAATTAGCCCTCTTGGAGACAGATGGTATAGGCAATTATCCTTCCCCTTCAATGCTGGCATCAGCCAGATGGGCTGAGCTAGGTCCAGTAAGCTTTCTTTAATCAGCAGAGTATTTTCCTCTTTTCCTACTCTTTAAGATGTCAAGGAGCTTCAGTCTTTTCCTGAGCCATCCCCATCTGAAGCCAGGCATTCAGAACCCTCTTGCCATACATTGGAAAACCCACAGTGAGGTATCAGCAGCACAGGTGAGCGCAGGCAGCATTCAGGAATCACCCCGGGGCTCGTCTCACACTTCTTTTTCCTGCAAAGGCAGAGGAAGCAGCAGGAAAGCTGGCTAAACACTGAAAAGAAAGAGCAGGACTAATGGGAGTCAACAAGGACTGCACCCTCGCTCCTCTAGAGAAGAGAAAAGGAATGAGGTTTTCAGGCTGACCTGCTCAAAATACTCTCTCAGCTCAGTGGCAGCTAAATCCCTGCCAATAAAAACCATGCTAATCAGTGGTTAGAGAGAGGGAGCTTCTGAGATAGGGCAACTTCCTCCAGCCCTGAAGGCATGACTTTCTGTATTCACAACCACACCGGGCCTGACTGAAGTGCTTTCCAGAATACAGATTTACTTCCTGAGCTCAAAAACATGTAACCACCATGTCCTTTCTCAGAAACACAGCTGTTCTAGACTATATCCTGTAAGAACTGGTTTTACTGTGCCTTTGGACATAACTGAAATGGAATAATTTCTGTGACCGTATATTCTCTTAAGCTGTATGAGGTTTTTTTTTTTATCAGTTGATAGTGGTCTCTTAATGTTATGTACTATATATATATAAAATATATAAAATACATGAGAATATATATATAAATAATACATAATATAAAATAATAATATATAAAATATATAAAAATACATCAGAATGAAGCCTCAAAACAATCTGTGCACCGTTTCACCCAAAGCGTCAAACAACCTTTAACTGAAAATCTTAGAAATTGTTAAAAGCTTTTAATTGGGAATCTCTGAAATTACTACAAGCCCTCACTACGGATGAAGAAAATAGAATACAGCTACTTGGGAAGCCTGAACATTTTCTCTGAAAATAAATACGGAATTTTGTCTGCCTAAAGAATTTCTGCTCTTTGCAGAAATTAAGGCCCAGCTGAGAAGTGCAGCTCCTGTGTGGCCTGACAGCCTCACCTTGCTGCTGTGAGAGGGCACTCAGTATTCTGCCTTTTAACCATTTCTTACTTGTTGACATGACCGAGTTAACCCCAGCTGGGCAGTCAAGAAGCTTTTCTCAGAAAAGTTTGTTGTAGTGTAAATAATACACTCCTGTAAACAGTGCAAATATTAAAACTCTCCAAGCTGAACTTGGGATAAGCCTTGGGACACACATCAAGCTGTGTCCTTGTGGGTGGATGGTGACTAAATAAATATGAATCTGGAGCCTTCACCTTCCTCTCCTGCCCCTTCTCTTGGCTTGGTGCTGCTGTTTCCTTCAGGTTCTGGCTGAATTTCCCACTTCAGCTCCATCCCAGGGAAAAAAAGAGGCAGGAAGGCGAGAGGCTGCTTGGCTCAGCAGGTGCCACAGTGGGCCCTTGTTGCCAGCAGCAACAATTAGTGACTGCTGTGTCAGACCAGCTGGATGTTTGAGGTCTCAGTGGGTTGTAAGAGTGTGTAGCAGGGCTGCTAAACATGTGAGAGGTCTGGAAGAAGGGGGTAAGAGAGCCCAAAGAACACAGATCTGTGTTTAGAGCAAGTCTGGGAGCTCGTGAATACAATGAATTCGCCATGTGGTAAAGACAAAACTTGTTTTTAATGGTTAATATGTCAGTAACTTCTGATCACTTCTACAAATGGGATTGACAGAGCCAGAGTAATCCATTGCACGTGTGTGTGAATCTGCTCAGTGTTATTATAAAAATTCTCAGAGAAGGGTGTACAGAGCACAGCCTAGAGTGGCAAATCAGATGTTGCACTAGAACATGTGTTACTGTAGATTTTACACTTGGATTTCTCTGCTGAGAGCAAAATTGCAAGTATGCATGGCATTTCATATCACCTGCACACAGGTGATCTGAGTGTAAATACATCCTTTTAAAATAAATTTATGCTGTTGTAGCAAATTTCTTTGTGAATGTTAGAGTGTCCCCAGCACAGCTCTGGTATCTGTCATCACAAGACAGTGGATGTGATGGTCTAACAAGTCTTACCTTCATGAGGATAGCATGGCAAAGCTGATTAATATGCTTTTACCCCGTCAGATACTTCATTTTCCCTGTGATTCTGCTATATCGTGTTTATATAGGTTCAGAACTTCCTGTTTTGGTTTTTTTTTTTTTTTCAAAACGTGCAGAAAATAAAACAGAGGCTGTAGACAGCTGGTTTGAATTTGTGTCTAAACATGGCATTCAAATATTAATTGTGTGAATAAATCTTTTTCATTTTGCAGACATACAAATGTCAGTACAATAAAACTGATTATCAGAGGATGATAGTTTCTGACACCTGATAAATGCCAAGATGAAGCTACTTACTGAAAGTCTATCAAAGTACTCTGTTTGCCATAAGCAAATGTTCATTAAAAATAGACATGCTTATTTTCTAAGTGGTTGACACTAATATCTTGGCATAATTCTAGCATCACAGCTAAAGACCTGATGCAGAAATGCTATATAAATGCAGCAAAAAAACCACTGTGGACACAACAAAATGCAGTAAACTTTTTTCTGCAGAATTGTGTACCTTAGATTTTCTTCACTCTCTCACTGTGAGTTGCATATATTTACAGTAGGTGATTCTTCATGTTATTTTGTGGTTTTAAATCCACCTTACCAAAGCTTTGTTTTGCAAAACCAGTTACACTTCACACCTTGCAATCAGCACAGTGAGTTGTTACGCTCAGGTGACAGAGAAGAAAACCAGAGAGGGCATTTAGGGTGGTTCTCTGTGCACCTTCAGGCAGGATTTGAACAGTCTTCAGTTTTAATTTTGATGTTTGGTATTAAAGATGCAGCATGCCTAAGAGCTTTGGCTAAAGGTGGTTGTTTCTTCCCCCAGATGGAAGGCCTCTGACTCTGGATGAAATATGGGGAAGTGTTCATGCATCCTACCAGGCTCGTCTGCAGGAGGGCCCCTGGGACACTATAACACAGCAGGTGAGAATCCTCTGGTCCTTCATTAAACTGGGGAATGAAATATATGCATGGGTCCTCAGTAGCCTTATTCCTCTCTTGGACAGAAGGAAAAAAAGTTAAAATAATTAAAAAATATATATGTCTATATCATGTTGTGCTGAACCATTTACCAGCAATCGTTTCAGTCCTGGATTTTGAAGGATAAATGTGTTCACCATTTAAGGCTTGCTTTGACAGTATCTCACATTTAAAATACTTCTCCAAAGCCAGTCCTCAAAAATTCAGGCAGTTTCTGAATAATCATGATTTTGGGTAAATACAAAAGCAGACTTGTTTATGTAAATAAAACATATCAGTGTAACATTTCACGGATTGTCTCGTAATCAAATTACCAAAAAAGACTGTGTGTAATTTTCAGTTTTAAATAGACTTGCAGTCTTCAGGATTGAACAAGGGAAAATTGGTTTCCTATCCAAAAATAAGTTGGTGCTGTGTACTAGCCACGTGGTTCAGAGCTAAGCTGGTTGTTGTGGTGTCTTCCTTTTGCTCCAGGTCCCATGAGGAAATCTGACAAAAAATTGAGACTCTCCAGGTGTGAGTTTTTTTCCCCATCAGACCAAGATACCAATGTGTCCTCTCTCCCTCCCCTTCCCTTCCTTGATTTTTTTATTTTAGCTCTTTCCAGCCACTCAGGTCTCCTGCCACAGCAGCATGACAAGAATGTGACATCCACTGGGTCCTACAGGTGCTCCCTTAATTCAAATAACACAGTTTAATTACAGGATGCCTGTTTGTAGACGGTGCTCAGCCATGGGAGCACATGCAGAATTCTTGTTTTTTCACAGCCACAGACTATTATTTATCTTATAACAGCTTCTCGTGAAGCCACCAAGCCATGGGTGTTCTGGTGATTGCTGTGCGTGTCTGAATTCCAGTTGTGAGCTGGCAGGTTCTTACAATACTCACTTTTCACACGAAGCATTAATTACCTGGCTTGTCTGTGAATGAAGTTGAGGAAACTGGGTTTCAATAACATAATGTAATAATGCCACACTACTGAGAATAAAGGATAAATGGGATGTTTGGGATGTGTGAAATCAGAGTTGTGGGAGCCAAAAGGAAAATCAGGTCACTCCCACACGGGGATTATTTTTGCTTCTTAAGGGACAGTAAAGTAAAAACTGTCCTGCTTTTAATAACTGGAGGTGTGTGTAGGATACACACACACAGATTCCTGCCAGAAACAGGAGTTTTGGGTGGCAGAGTGTGTGTAGTGATGAATCTGATTTTGGGACACTCTCCAGAGGTGGTACAGCCAGCTGTGAGTGCACTGACAAACACAGGAAGAACATTTTGGGGAAATTAGCATAGTTAACAGCTGCAAAATGTGACTTTCTGTGAAATAAGGAGATTATGGAAGATAATGAAAACTAGCCTGCAAGCCTCAGATCAAAGCAAGAGTCAGGTCTGCAGGAAAAAAAAACCTTCTTTTCTCTGTCCAATGAATGAGGGTTCTGAACTGAAATACAGAGTTTTGTCTTGCCTTGCTGCTTTTCTGCTGACCCATTTTGTTATGTGGGTTAGGCTTTGCCTGCAGGGACACAGATCCTATAATGCAAGTCACTGGGCAAGCTCATCAAATCAGGCTTGAGCACTCAGTACACATGAGCAGCAGAGTAAAAAAAGGTTTAGGATTTTAATCCAGAAGAGATACAAATTTTAGATGCTACAAGCACTCCACTGAAAGAAAAAATTTTTCTTTTTTTTGGGAAGAAAAATTGAGCTTGCCAAAGGTCCGTGCATGTTACTTAACTTTTAACTAGAGCTGATCTGCACTGTGATTGGCAGACCAGGAAAAGAAAGGCTTATTGACTTTCTGGGACTTTTTTGCCATATATTTGATGAAACAAGGGTGCCAGACCTGTGCACATTTCTGATACAACCATATTTTGGTGTATACTCCCTGTGGTAGAGCACCTCTGTAATGAAGTACATCTCAGGAGCTGAGACAAGCTGCGGAGAGTGGAGATATATGACATTTGCAAATTTTAGGTAAAATTTGAACTTTCAGAGTTACTTTTGATTATGGTGGAAAGTTATGCTCATTTCCAGAGAAAGCATCTCGAAATATTTTTCCTGACTCGATTACTGCAAAAAGCAGAAGTCAACTAGTTACCTTCTCATAAATAAATTAACATGATAAGGTTGCACAGTATTTTATAATGATAATTGATAAATGGTGATGATTTAATTGCACTTCCTCTAGTAATAATCTTAAAATGCTCAAATGAAGTTCCTGTGATTGGCTTTCTTGTGAGTTAAATCTCCCTGGGGTCTTCAGTCATCCCTTCTCTACATCCGGCGATAACTTGCTGTAGCTGTTTTAAATAATACAAATCAATTAGAACACACAGCTGTTTAACAAAACTTCCAAATGTTGCTACAGGTCTCTGTGGGTATTTCCTGATGACTTATAATGACATCAATTTAGCACACCTGGTAAGATCTGTGTGAGCTGGAAGTGGCTTAATTCTGCAATGACAGGAAAATTAAGGAGTATTTATGGATTACTGTTGCCTTCCAGAAATGTTGCCAACTGTGATTTTCAGCTTCTTTTTAGGAGGATTCAGAAGTGGAATGACAGATACTGCAGCCCCATCTCCTGAATTGTTTACTTGTAACTTGGTGGGTGCTTTTTAGTGTTATTTATTTATATAGGTAATGTAAATACATGTAAACATATATTATACGTATGATGTATAATATTTATATTAGTTATTTATAAGATAGTATACACAAATACATAGTGGTACTGCCTAAACAGCTCAAACTTATTGGGCCCTCTGTTTGTAATAAATATAATAAATAGCATGTGTAATGTCCCAGTTAAGAAGGCAGCAACCCAAAAGTGTCATGGTCAAATGCTAAATAGTGAGGCAAATTGAGAGAATAAAACCTCACAAAAACAGGAAAAAAGTTAGAAAAAACCCCAAAAAAACAAACAAAAAAAACCCCACCAAACCAACAGAGAGTGAACAGAAATATGAAAATATATGAAGGTGAACATATTTTGTCACATGGTAGTGCGTGGTGTAAGAACTAAGAATTTTAAAAAACCCAGATAACTAATACTGAGTTAATTTGTAGTGGCAACATTTCACCTTTTGTCGTTTTGGAAACCTCTCTGAAGATGAGTGGGAGATGTGAAGCAGCAGAGAGTGACTCTGTGGTTTTAGCCAGAGCTTCAGGCTGTGTGGCCTTGGTTGGGTCCTCTCTGTGGAGCTGGAAATGCAAGACTGAAAGGCTTTTATTGTCGGGGTGGGTGTGGGATAGGCATTGTCAGGGCATGAATTTTCATCCTGCTGTGGCTGAGGGCTGCACACCTCTTTGGAAGAGCCTTCATCAAGATCCAGGACACAGGTGCTCATGCTAATTTTTGATTCTTTTTCTTCTGCTAATCCATGCCTTCCATTAGTTTTTTTCTATGTGGAAGCAAACTAGCAAGAGAATTTTGTAAACTGATAAATGAAGCTGATCACAGTCAGTAGCATCACCAACAATTTTGTTTTTAACAGAGTGATGTTGTCATAAAGCCTGACCTTCCCCTGAGGAAACAAAGTCATAAACACAATCAAGTATATGTGCTAAGGCTTAATCAATGCTTAGTGATGGTGGAATGTAAAGCCAAACTTTCAAGGATAGAAATCGAATTGCATTATTACAGGAGGCTCAGGGGTTGAAAAACTACCCCATAAAACAAGAGCAAAACTTGGTGACTTGAAGATCCTGCAGAAATAGTCTTAAAAATTAATCTGTGAGTCAGGATTCCGAAGGTCTCTGGAAGCTGTGAAGCACATGTGCCCATGCATGACTCCCCTCCTTTTTAACCAACACTGTTCAGCTGGAATTTCTTCTGCTACCAAAGTGCTCCCAGGCATGGGAGGGGACACAATTCATATGTGACACCTTGGTTCTGGATTTGCCAACAGTAAATCAGCATTTTCCTGGCTTAGCCATTTACTGTTGCTGCAGACAAGGTAACTCAGACCATTCTGATACTGACTATATCCTACGTTTCTGAGTGGTGAGTGGTCAGGAATTTTGCATCTCTTTTTTCTCAACCATTCAGTTCTCAGTTTCATTTTAATGAGGGGATTTTCTTCTGTCATCTGATACTTAACAGGTAGTTTTAATATGTCCTTTTAATATGTCATATCAGAAGTATTCAACCAAACCTAAACTAGGGAAATCACAACACAGAACTGCACCTATTTCTGAGTTAATCCAGCGTCTTTTTCAATCAGGAGTTAGGAATCTGGAGGACACATTCTTTATAGTACCTCAATAATCCTGTCCATTACATCACTTAATTTATAGCAGTGTTAACAGAAAAATCAATAAACATTATTTCTAAAATGTCAGGGATGTTAATAGTGTGATTTAAAAAAGGGGAAAGAGTCAAAACTCTGAACAGAACACATTGATATAGTGTTGTAGAGGCACATCTTGCTGAAAATGTGATAGGGAGGATTTAAATCATTACAGCTCAGTCATTTTGAAAAATGTGGTAAGGTATCTATTCTTAGACACACAAATCTTTCTTGCCATATTGTAGGATTTTGCTAAGTGGGGGAAGCTGTATACAGTATTTCTTAACAGAAGGTTGCTAGGATCGCTCTTAACGAATTTGAGTTGCATCAACAGTTGCTATGGATCCCCTGCTAATATTTTTGGAAAATTATTAGTACAACTTCCTGAGAAAAGGGAGTCTTACCAGTACAGACTGGAAAGCTATTTGACAGGGGGAAGATACAAGGATGGCAAAGCTGGGTGGGTATTTATTTCTCACTAAAAGATTCTATGATGTGTTGAACTCCTGGGGTTTAAACCTAGCTGCAGTATTGTACAAGCTACCAAGGAGGTTTTATTTCAAAACTAGCCACTGATTAATAATGTTAACTGTCCTACAGTTTAGTCATGCTTTTCCCCATAAGACTTCATGGACAATAATCTAGTCCAAC